ATACCCATCTTCTTTATCCATTCATCTGTCAATGTACATCTCACCTCTTTGCACAGTTTGGCTATTGTGGACATTGCTGCTATAAACATCAGGGTGCATGTACCCCTTGGGATCACTACATCAGTTTCTTTGGGGTAAATACACAGTAGTGCAATTGCTGGGTCATAGGTTAGCTCTATTTTCATCTTTTTCAGGAACCTCCATACTGTTTTCCAGAGGGGCTGCACCAGCTTGCATTCCCACCAACAGTGTAGGAGGGTTCTCCTTTCTCTGCATTACCGCCAACATCTGGCGTTTCCTGACTTGTTAAATTTAGCCATTCTGACTGGTGTGAGGTGGTGTCTCAGTGAGGTTTGGATTTGGAATTCCCTGATGTTGAGCAATGCTGAGCACATTTTCATGTGCCTGTTGGCCAATTGGATGTCTTCTTTGGAAAAATGTCTGTTCATGTCTTCTGCCCATTTCTTGATTGGATCATTTGTTCTTTGGGTATTGAGCTTGATAAGTTTCTTATAGATTTTGGTTACTAGCCCTTTATCTGATATGTCATTTGCAAGTATCTTCTCCCATTCTGTTGGCTGTCTTTTGGTTTTGTTGACTTTTTCTTTTGCTGGGCAAAAGCTTTTTATCTTGATGAGGTCCCAATAGTTCATTTTTGCCTTGCTTCCCTTGCCTTTGGCAATGTTACTAGGAAGAAATTGCTGCAGCTGAGGTCGAAGAGGTTGCTGCCTGTGTTCTCCTTTAAGATTTTGATGGACTCCTGTCTCACATTTAGGTTTTCCAACCATTTTGAATATATTTTTGTGTGGTGTAAGGAAATGGTCCAGTTTGATTCTTCTGCATGTAACCGTCCAATTTTCCCAACACCATTTGTTGAAGAGACTGTCTTTTTACCATTGGACATTCTTCCCTGCTTTGTCAAAGATTAGTTGACCATAGAGTTGAGGGTCGATTTCTGGGCTCTCTATGCTGTCCCATTGATCTATGTGTCTGTTTTTGTGCTAGTAACATACTGTCTTGGTGATGACAGCTTTGTAATAGAGCTGGAAGTCCGGATGTGATGCCACCAACTTTGCTTTTCTTTTTCTACATTCCTCTGGCTATTCAGGGTCTTTTCTGGTTCCATACAAATATTAGGATTATTTTTTCCATTTCTTTGAAAGAAGTGGATGGTATTTTGATGGGGGTTGCATTGAATATATAGATTGCTCTAGGTAGCATTGACATCTTCACAATATTTGTTCTTTTAATCCATGAGCATGGAATGTTTTTCCATTTCTTTGGGTCTTCCTCAATTTCTTTCATGAGTATTCTATAGTTTTCTGAGTACAGATTCTTTGCCTCTTTGGTTAGATTTATTCCTAGGTATCTTATGGTTTTGGATGCAATTGTAAATGGAATCGACTCCTTAATTTATTTTTCTTCTGTCTTGTTGTTGGTGTATAGGAATTCGACTGATTTCTGTGCACTGATTTTATATTCTGTCACTTCACTGAATTCCTGTATGCATTCTAGCAGTTTTGGGGTGGAGTCTTTTGGTTTTCCACATAAAGTATCATATCATCTGCAAAGACTGAGAATTTGACTTCTTCTTTGCCGCCTCAGGTGCATTTTATTTCTTTTTGTTGTCTGACTGCTGAGGCTAGGAATTCTAATACTATGTTGAATAGCAGTGGTGAGAGTGGACATCCCTGCTGTGTTCCTGACCTTAGGGGGAAAGCTCACAGTTTTTCCCCATTGAGAATGATATTCATTGTGGGTTTTTCATAGATGGCTTTTATGATATTGAGGTATGTACCCTCTATCCCTATACTCTGAAGAGTTTTGATCAAGAAAGGATGCTGTACTTTGTCAAATGCTTTTTCTGCATCTATTGAGATGATCATATGGTTCTTGTTCTTTCTTTTATTAATGTATTGCATCATATTGATTGATATGAGGATGTTGAACCAACTTTGCATCCCAGGCATAAATCCCAATTGGTCGTGGTGAATATTCCTTTTAATGTACTGTTGGATCCTACTGGCTAGTATTTTGGTGAGAATTTTTGCATCCATATTAATTAGGGGTAATGGTCTGTAATTCTCCTTTTTGATGGGGTCTTTGTCTGGTTTTGGGGTCAAGGTAATGGTGGCCTCATAAAACGAGTTTGAAAGTTTTCCTTCCATTTCTATTTTTTGGAATATTTTCAGAAGAATAGATATTAATTCTTCTTTAAATGTTTGGTAAAATTCCCCTGGGAAGCCATCTGGCCCTGGGCTTTTGTTTTCTGGGAGATTTTGATGACTGCTCAATTTCCTTAGTGGATATAAGTCTGTTCAGGTTTTCTATTTCTTCCTGGTTCAGTTTTGGTAGTTGATACATCTCTAGGAATGCATCCATTTCTTCCAGGTTATCTAATTTGCTGGCATATAGCTGCTCATAATATGTTCTTATAATTGTTTGTATTTCTTTGTTGTTGGTTATGATCTCTCCTCTTTCATTCATGATTTTATTTATTTGGGTCATTTCTCTTTTCTTTTGTTAAGTCTAAGGGTTTGTCAATCTTTTAATTCTTTCAAAGAACCAGCTCCTAGTTTCATTGATCTGTTCTACTGTTCTTTTTGTTCCTATTTCTTTGATTTCTGCTCTAATCTTTATTGTTTCTCTTCCCTTGCTGGGTTTAGACTTTATTTGCTGTTCTTTCTCCAGCTCCTTTTTGGATAGGGTTAGGCTGTGTATTTGAGACCTTTCTTGTTTTTTGAGAAAGGCTTGTATTGCTATATACACTCCTCTTAGGACTGCCTATGCTGCATCCCAAAGATATTGAACAGTTGTGTTTTCATTTTCATTTGGTTCCATGAATTTTTTTAAATCCTTCTTTAATTTCCTGGTTGACTCATTCATTCTTTAGTAGGATGCTCTTTAACCTCCATGTATTTGAGTTCTTTCTGACCTTCCTCTTAGATTGACTTCTAATTTCAAAGCATTGTGGTCTGAAAATATACAGGGAATGATCCCAATCTTTTGGTACCAGTTGAGACCTGATTTGTGACCTAGGATTTGATCTATTCTGGAGAATGTTCCATGGGCACTGGAGAAGAATGTGTATTCTGTTGTTTGTCATGGAATGTTCTATATATCTGTGAAGTCCGTTTGGTCCAGTGTGTCATTTAAGGTCTTTATTTCCTTGTTGGTCTTTTGCTTAGATGATCTGTCCATTTCAGTGAGGGGGGGTGTTAAAGTCCCCCACTATGATTGTATTGTTGTCAATGTGTTTTTATGCTCTTATTAATTGGCTGCTCCCATGTTAGAGGCATAGATATTTACAATTGTTAGATCTTCTTTTTGGATAGACCCTTTAAGTAGGATATAGTGTCCCTCCTCATCTCTTATTATAGTCTTTGGTTTAAAATCTAATTGGTCTGATAT